CCTACCCACCTGCTGGGGGCATTCTTTTTGCCTTTCTAAATGGGTGTGAATTCCTTTCTAAATTCCTTCTCTATTTATGCTGCACTCCTGGGAAGCTCCCAGGAGCTGTAGATTCTGCTGCCAGATCTGGCTGTTTTGCCTCTGGCATCTGGTTGGATGCAGGCTTGGGGGGCGCAGCAGAAAATGGGTGGGTACATGGGTGGAAAATGGGAGGAGAGTTGGTGCTGGACTGCTATATTCCCAACCCCTATCCTGTGGGCAGCTGCTCCTTCTCCTGGTCCCAGAGGCTTAGAGGTGGCAATCTGCTGTGCCATTGCCAAGTCCAGCACACTTGGTCTTTGCCTGTTGATTACCTTGAACCCTGCCACAGCTTTGTGAATGACCCACACGTTTACCTGTGAAGGTGTGAGAATCCACATTCCTAACTCAGTCAGGCTGAGATCCAGGCTCTGTTTCTCAGGGCAGAGGGAGGTTGCAGTCATGATGGCGGTGATTACAGGCACGTCTCTCCCTGGAGACCTGTGACCTCTCTTCCCCCAGCTTCCTCTCCTGTATACTTTAGCCCTGCTTGCACCCTCCTCTCTGTAGAATTTCATGAGAAGGCAGCCTTCTTTTTTTTTTTTTTTTTGCCAAGCCATCCTTTCTGGAACCTGCAGCTTCCTGCGTCTTCCTTGCCTCCTTGGGCACCACCCAGCCCTAGGTGAGTGGGTGGCTGGCCAGGCTCTCTGGTTTATGCATTTCTGTAGCGTGAGTGCTTTGTGCCTGGTTGCTACTAATATGTACATCTTTTGAGTGGATTGCTAAGCTATTTCTTAAGCACTAGCACTTTGAAATTCCAAGATGGCCAATAATCAAACTCCAAACAGGCCGCATTGTTTGAAATTTAAAATGCCATCTTAGCAATGAATATGTACAGTCCGAGTTTCTTTTCCAAGAAAGGAAGAATCCATTCTTGCTTAGAAACATTAACCTAAGGAAACAAAACACTTGGGTGCTTTTAGACAAATATCTCGTGTGATGGAAGATGTAACGCCAGCATCCCAAAGCTTAACTCCTTCCTACATTAGCTCTACAGCTAGGTGGGAAGCCCTGGCCTCTCCCTGAACCTTCGGCTTCTTTTCTGTGAAATAAGGGCATAACTGGGGGCATCCACCAGCTGTACCAGTGTGTGTGTGTGTAAAGGAGAGTTCAGTGTTTCTCAAGTTTTTGTTCATGCTCATTGCCCTAACTAACCTTTATATGGGCCGTTTGTTCCTCCTATAAATTTATACACTACAGAGAGACCATGTATCAGAAATGCTAAGATATTTTTGCTTTCCAGGTTACAGTGTTTGTCCCATGTAGGAATGCACTTTTACGATGATTTATTCCCAGTCACGGCCAGCAGAATTACCCATAAAATGGACACTAAAGCCGTCAGGAGGGGCTTGCTGGCTCCTGCTTTCTGAGGAACTCAGAGTCACGTTAGAATCACATCCTGACTCAGCCAGCAGGGCAGCCAGGGTCCCATGCGCTGTCCCTGGTTTGAACACGAGTCTCAACTAGAAGGTCACTATGGCTTGGCCAGGTGTTCCCTCCGCAGTGAGGCAGCCCAGTGTGCTCAGCGCCCTGTTAGAGGGAAGCCCCCAGCTAGCACCTCTCAGCAGCATCAGTGGATTTTCCCGCATTACTGCTGCGATTCTGTGGCTGGCAGAGCCCTCAGGCCAAGGAGCAGAGCTGGATATGAGGGTCTGTGGGCAGGGTGTGTCTCAGAGGAGCCTGAATCTCTTCCCCCCTCCACTGTAGACTGTTGCCATGGCTCCCACCCTGCTGGCTTAATTTCCTTTGTTGTGATGAGATGGTGCAGTCTAGCTGGAGACCCCAGAGTGACGCAGTGACTCCTCCACTTATCATCCTGACAGTTGCCTGCCTCTTCTCTGGGGTGGGGATTTAGGGGCTTGGAGACCTAATCTCTCCCTTCTGCATCTTAGTTTCTGCAGGATGCACAGCTCTCCTCCTTCTCTGTTGATATCCCTGGGATTCTTTGTTTGCATATGTCTATCTTGCCAAAGGGTGTAATCACGCCGGAGACTCCAAACCCTTTGTGAGCTGAGGAGGGGCCTGGATTCCTGACAAGTGACAAGTCACGTGTGCCTGCTCCCTAGTGAGACCCTCTGGCATCATGCTCATGTGTTCTCCTTCTTCTCTGACAAGGATCCCTTTGCTGTGATGGTTGATGGTTGTGTGGAGGCTGAAGCTCCTGCAGAGCCCCCTTTCCCCTGCTTCTGCACGCTTGGGGCTCCTTCTCTGTGCCTAGTCCCACACCCTCCTGGTTCATCTGTTCAGCCATATCCAAGGTGGCAGGGCTTCTCCAGTAGACAAGCTGCTGAAAGTGACTGCTGTGCTTCGCTGTGGCCAGGGCTGGCAAGGGCTGCCAGCGGATCAGCCTCTGGGTTCACCTGCTGCGGTGTACTTGATGTGTGCTCACTCTAGTGGGGTGAGGGGAAGCCAGATATTCTCCAGCTCTGCCAGAGGGGATCCCTGGCTGGGCTTTCCTGGGCTTCCCCCCGCCCTTCTCCACTCCCCAGTGCAGGGGAGAAAGCTCCGCTCCTGCAGATGCTGCAAGTCCAGAGCCAGGGCTGACTGCTTCTCGCTTCTGCATGGTTAACTCCTCCTTGGTGTGTGGGGATGATGGTGAGAGAGCTCCCATCCCAAGGGGCTGTTGTGAGATGGAAATTAAACACTACAGCGTACGCTAGGCTTCCCACCAGGCTACAGGCAGTCCGCAGCACACGCTCTTATCATTAACAATTCTGATTTTGCATCGTGAGACCTCAGCCCTGCAGTCCGTGGTGGGGGTGGGGATAGGGGCTTCTGCAGGCTGCATCACTGGTATGAATAATTCATGCATCTCTAGCCTCCTGCGCCCTCCCCGAGCAGCTCCTGGCAAGCACTGCCATGAATTCATTTGTCACGGGTGGGCGTGTGCGCTGGGCGCGAGCAGATGGGATTCCCCAGTCACGTGCTGCTGCAGACGGCCTGACTCACAGCGGCGCGGAGGAAGCCCCGCTCCTTGGAGGAGCAGGAACCTCCGCTTCTGAAAATGGATGTGCTGCATCTGCTGTCGTGCCATATGGGGCGAAAGCTTTGTTCTTCCTGGAGAAAGAAGGGGGTATTTTCCATCCGCTGCCATGTCCTTGGCAACGCCTGACAACTTTTTTTTTTTAACCCTTGGTGGCACACCCAGCTCCTGTTCTTTTCATTCTATGCCTTCTGAGTTTCAGGGCTTGTGCTGGGTGTGGGTGATCAGGGCTACATGGAGATCCGCACAAACTCAGGGAAACTCGGAGGCCTTGCTGACACAGGTCAGGTATTCATAGGATTCCTGCCTGATGAATAAAAATACAGCTCTTGGTGGAAGGCTACTTCATGCAGCCAAGGAATGTTGGGGAAGGCTTCCTGGAGGAGTTGATAATGAAGCTGAAGTTTGAAGGAAGATGTTAAGGAGCATAGCATAGTGTTTTCAAAAAATGCTAGAGACGAAGGGCTGATGTATGTGGAGGCCAGAGCTGGACCGTGGAGGCCTTGCTTAGCTGGTGCATGCTCTAGAGTGGGAGATGGTGGAGGGTGGTGGGCAGAGAGGGGAACATAGTGTCCCTTGTCTTGGGGCTCCCATCAATGGGTTCCAGAAATGTAAATTGGAAACTGGGAGACAAGTGTGCATTCATACATTGACCCACATAGTTTCTGACTTGTGAACCTGGTGTGTGCTGCCAGGTGAGCTGTTAGGGAGGGGAGTGGCCACACTGTCAGGCTGGATGTGGCTACCAGGGAGGTCTGGAATGCCTCTGCAGCCAGCATCATTGTGCTAGGATTCTTCCCTGCTGATAGGAACCACAGCAAGGCCCTCACAGCTGAGACCCCTCTGAGACATTGCATGTGGCTCCAGATGTGCAGCTGAACAGTGAGTGACAGCCCTGCCCCTTCAGTCTAGGCATCGGGACTGGACCACACAGCAATGCGGAGCTCGGTGGTTGAATAATAGCTCCTCGCTTGCTGTGTGGAGTCAGCCAGCCCCATGGGATACTGCTGTGCCCCTGGATCTGGAGCCAGCATCCACCCTCCAGGTATCTCTGAATGGTCCCCTCACTAGGTCTGAGGTTTTTTTCTCACCCCAAAGATGATAAATTCACCAACTGCCATGGGATTGCTCTTGAAGGAATCCTCCCTCTTGTTTTCATTTGCTGGAGTGGAATCCTTCACCCATTGGGATATATGGTCCGCTTAGCCTCTCAATCTAGTTCTCACCTGCTAGTGGTGGAATCCTTTGCATATTGATGATGGTGGGCTTGGGCCTCACACCTGGCTTCCAGCCGTTTCTGCACACACAGTTGTCCTGGCACCTGCTTCTGGAAGTGACTGCATCTGCAACATCAGCATCACCTACAGTATTGTAGCAGTGGGACATCTTGGACCCACCCCGGATCTGATGAGCCAGAAGCTGCTGGAACCAGATGCCCAGGTGTTTGGCATATGCAGTGAGGTCAGAGCCTTGTGCCTCCCCTTGAGATGTGGGGGCGGGTGGCAGCTGTTGTGTGAGGGCTTGGCTGAAACCGAGGCATAAAGTTCTCCTTTGCCATCTGTCACACGGTCTGTAAATTAGCTCCCAAAATATCTCTCCCATGTTACCATGTAATGACATGACCTTGGCTTTTGGGATCTCAGTGTATCCCAAATTTTTGTTACAAAAATGCGGTTCTGAATGTCTCCAGGCCTGTAGATAAAGACATCCTGTTAAACCTCTCCAGTTATTTTTTTTAGTTATTATTTTCAGCTAATACTAAAAATCGTATGCATTTATTGGGTACCATGCAATATTGTGATGCACATATGCATTGTGCAACATCCACTGCAGCTTACACATAACCATCTGCTCAAATGTTAGCATCTCTTTTAGATAAAAAAAAATTCACAATCTTCTTGAACTCTTTGGAAAACAATGCATATATATTGTTCAAGTCTATCTGTTTCTGTAGTTCCTTGCTATGCGTGTCATGCTTGCACAGGAGCCATGCTAATCTTCTCTGTATCGTTCCAATTTTAGTATATGTACTGCCAAAGCGAGCACAGTTCCTTGCTATGCAACTTATCCCATTTAGTTATAACTTGGAACTGTGAGTGAACCCCTTCTCATCACTCGCCCCTTCTCACACTCCCTCCCTGTCCCAGATCTCTTAAGGAGCTATCTGCTCTCTGGCAGTCATGGTCTACTTGCTGGGTGCCAGGAGCCCTTGCACTGTCTCACTTGTGCTCCCAGGACCATGTCCTCTCTAAGTGGATGGGCTAGCTGCTTCCATCTAGTGACAGCAGCAGCAAAGTTCCTTTTACTTCTGTGTCCTGCTTTTCGGGAAGCTCAGGGATTATCTTGTTCTAGATTCCTGGTCTAGCTCCTCCTTCCTAGTAATTTATTCTCTTTACTTTTTAAAAATCTTCAGTTCCATTTTTGCTATGTTTTTTTTAACATGCCTTCTGCCCCTTCCAAATTGGTAGGAGCCGAAAAAAGTTTTGAGTCCTTACTTTAAAATGAGACCTTATAGTAATCGGCCACCATAGCACGTGTGTGAATTTGTCCCACGAAAATTCCATTCACTCACAACTTCTGGAATTGATCTGTGGAAGCTAAGGGCAGCTGTGGTGGTGACTGGGTTTGCCCAGGAAGATCAGGTGAGCCTGATTTCACTGTATCTGTCCCAGTGTCTTCTCATTTTACTAGATGGCCTTTAGAGTATTGAAACCCAGTGGTGAACTGGATGAGGTATTCATTGTTTCACTGTTTCCTGATCACCTTTCATGTTTTCAGCATTGAGCTATGCAGGTAAAAATGAGGAGTGGTCTCGTTCCTCCCAAGGAGCTTATGGCTCTGCAACATTCCGCCTCACTGGATTCTGATGCAGAAGAGCTAAGCGAGGAGGCACACAGCTCAGTGTGGAACTGGTGAGGTTGAATCTGTCTTCAGAGCAGGGGACTGCACAGAGTTGAAGGATCCAGAACAGGATGTTAGTGGATGTTTATGGATGGGATGGACAGGAGATGGGGCTAGAGGAAATCAGGGTCCACTCCCTGCAGGCCAGCCAGACTTAGCTTTGCCATGTAGTAGAGCCAGGAGTAGTCATGGCCTTGGAAATGCTTGCCCACTCATCAATAGACATGTTCTCTGCTTTGTCTTCCAGCACAGAAGTCAAGGTTTCAGGCAGGTCTGCTGCTCGTCTGAGGCCCAGGGTCCTCCTCCAGGATCCCTGGCTGCTGGCAGAATGCTGTTCCCAGCCGTTAGGGGATGAAGGTTCTGCTCTCATGCTGGTTGGCAGCTGGAGATGGCTCCCAGTTCTGAGGTGCCAGGGATCACTTGTTGCCATATAGTATGAGCCCTCTTCCCTTTGACTTTCTGATTATTCTTAAGGTCTCACTGGGTTAGGTCAGGCTGACCCATGGTAACCTCCCTTTTGATTAAGTCTGGGTTGGCCAGGACCTTTATGATATCTGGACAAGCCCTTCTGCCAGGCCGAGTTAGGTGACCCTGCATTCTGCTGGCTCTCAGGCGGGCACTATGCAGATGTGCTCTGTGGAGATGGGACTCTTAGAACCGTCATATGTAAGTGTGCCTACCACAGGTCCCATTTAATTCATCTTCACATGATCTGGGCCCGACACAGGATCCAGGGCCAGCTACCGGCACTGTTGAAGGCTGATGAGACATTTGTAGGACAAGAGCAAGGACGGTAAGGACCCTAATGCCCCCAGAAATGCCCCTCTTAAGTGGTGGAAGTAGGAGATGGAAATTCACTGCAGCAGCCTTTGGCAAGCTGGCACGAGACCTTGTGGAATCTTGGAAGTGTCTCCAAGGAGTCATATGCCAAAGTTTTCTAGGGAAAATTTTGAGAAACTTATTTTGGGTCATGTGCTTGAGAACTAGGCTGCTGAATTTAGCCCATAATCAGGGAAGAAAAAAAAGGATCAGATGCTACCCAGACTGCACAATACTTTTGCTATTCCCTTGATTTTATTGCTTTATAGTTAATTAGGTGGATGGGAGGAGAGATGGAGTAAGTGAATGGGTCCATTATTACGATGTTATTTACTCATGCATATCTTAAGCTTCCTACCATCAAGTTATGTTAGCCACTAATACTGAAACTCCCTCAACATCCCATAGTGGATCCTGGGCAGTCAGCCTGGGTGTACTCTTCTGCACAGAGTTTCTGAAAATAGACTGTTATCACTTCCTCATGTGGGGACCATGGAGAGACAGTTCTGCATGTGCTGCTGTGGGGAGGTGCCAGGCAGATGTCTTTGTTACCACCTTGCCAGGTCATCAAGGCCCACAACAGCTTGAGAACCACTGGCTGCCACAGGTGCAGACAGCAGCACACCCACCTTGCATGGTGGGAGAAAGGCATGGGGATAGACATGGAGCCATGTCCCTGAGAAGAAAAGGGAGAAGAGAGGCTATCTGCGAGCTAGACGTGCTGGACTGCCTGCATTCTGGCATGGAAGTGAAGCCTGCTCTTAGTTGAAAAACTTGCAGCACACGTCTGTCTGTTCCAAATCCAGTTGAACCTGGCTGAGTCCAGTTTAGCCTGGCTCCAAGCCCTCTCTTTCCAGGGAGGGGACCAAAGCCAGTCCTTTTGTTCTGTGAGTGGCTCCTCCTCTCCATCAGAGATGGCATCAGCACCTGAGTTTTCAGGGAGGATCATTGGTTACCTCTGAACAATCCTGCCAGAAGGAGGCCCTTACTCCATCTGAGGGCCTTGGCTCTGCTGGGCCCACCAAGCCCAGAATGGACTCCTTGCTGTACTGATGTCACCTCCTGGGGTTCTGAAGTTCCACAGAATATGCATCACTGCCGTCCCCTCCTTGTCCACACCTGCCTGTCTGCAGCAGCTGCAGTGACATTGGCGGCTTGTTTGACAACTTGTATGGGAAGCAAATATGCTGAGCCTTGCAGCGTGGGGGCTGGCTGCACTCATAAAAGCACCATGTGGAAAGAGCTAGTGTCCCCTGTGTGATTGGTGGGCAGTAATAGTGTGTTGTATTCAGGAGTTTGGCTGCAAGGGTAGTTTTTGGCTGCTCTTGCCATACAGAGGGCAAAGGAGGGAAGTCTGATACTGCATGAGATGAGTATATTAATTTACTCCATTCTAGCAGGCATTTCACTATACACATGTCTTAGGATATCAGACTATGCAGTTTGAATAGCCACACTTTATTATTTAAAAAGAGGGAGAAGAGAAATAACTTCACTTTTTATTTCTCCCTTATTTGTTAATATCATTAAATTACCTTCCTATAGTTTAAGGTGCCCTGCTTCTCTCGTTACATATCCCCTTTTCAACTTTTAGCCGTAGTTGAGAATATGTAGCTTGTATATTCAACTGTAAGGTCTATTCCTTCTCATTCCTGTCCCTGACATGTTGCTGAGAATGATTCTTTATTTTTCCATTTTTATCTAAAAGGCAGAGCCATAGAGATACACAGAGGGATCTTTCAACTTGTGGTTCACTTCCCAAATATCTGCTACAGCCATGGTTGGGCCAGGTTGCAACCAGGAGACCAGCATTCCATTTGGGTCTCCCACCTAAGTGGCAAGAACCCAGTTCCTTGAGGCATTAGCTGCTGCCTTTCAGGGAGTACCTTAATGCACCAGATGGGAGGCAGACAGGAGAGTGAAACTCCGCTCTCTGACCGAAGATGGAGGCATCTTAGCTGTTGAGCCAAATATCTGCCTTGGTTGATGTTTTTTTGCTTATTGGTGTCATAGGACTGGGGAAGCACGGCGGCTTTGTACTGCTGGTGTGTATAGCTGTGTGTGTGTGTGTGTGTGTGTGTGTGTGTGTGTGTGTGTGTGTGTACATGTGGACGTGTGCTGGATGTGTGAGATTTAGAATGGAGCTGTAGAAGGGATGAGATGAAAAAGTAGGCAAGGAGAGATTTCTGTGGCCACAAAAGGGTGTCAGTGTGTTCCCCCTTGTTCACCCCTGAGCAGAGAAAGCCTTTGAAGCACAGCTGCTAGTCGTGTGCAGCCCCAGCTGCTGGGACAGCGAAGGTCTCCTGTGTGGGCTTGGCCGTAGTTGTATCCCCAAGTTCCCAGCCCCTCTGCCACCTTCAATCTTTCCATCCCGAGCTCCACTTGATCCAGCAAGGAAAGCATTAACACTGGACCTTCCCCCAGCCCCAATGCCACCATCTGTTCTGAGGTCTCAGTTTTCAGGCAATACATGGGGTTACATGTTTTAAAAAGGTGTTCTTTCTTAGACAGAATAGTTTCATTCTCATCATAGCCTGGTACAAGCCTTGTACAACCTGACAGTATTACTCTGTCAGCACATGATGAAGCTGTACGCAGAGGAATGGAATTGTCCCCCCGCCCCCACATGTCTACCAACCTGGGGCATCTCTGCCTGGCATGTTGGCTCCCTGCTGTTAGTCATGGCTGTCTGGCAGATACGATACGGATATTTGCAGATACGATTCAGCAGAAGCCATTCTGTCTCGGGGTAGGAGCCACCCGTTCAGCACAGTCTCTGCCATGTGCCTCTCTGGAATTCCCTCCCCAACTTCCACACCTTGTCCTCTGGGTCTAGCTCCAGGATCCAGGGTAGCCCAGAGTAGCCATTGACCCTGCTCTGATTTGAGGGAGCCCGGGGGTCCGTAGGATACCCAGTGGATGTTGGTAACTGTTTAAGACAAGACCTCTTTTAGAAATTTTCTTACCCAGTTTCCGTTACTATTATCTTGTGTTAGTATGGCACTTGGTTACCACTGATGACAGCTGCAGTTCACAGATTGTATTATAACTCACCCTTGGTGTTTATATGCTTAGTTCTTTGAGCTGTAGTATATACATAAAGTCCTGTGTATGCTACTACAGTTCAGCACAGAGTTTCCTTGCCTGAAAACCCCCAGTGTTCTACCTGTTAAAGTAATTTTGAAATAGCACCCAAGTCTTTATATGGAGCTGAGGAAGACATTTGCAAACAACCCATTAGATAATTTGGGCTGTTCTGGAGAAATAGACAAAAGCCCATTGCCCATAGCAACAGTTTTCACTGCTACATTTCACTAAGATAAGGG